ATCCCACCCAATACCCGTGTACCAGAAGGTAGTGACGGACGAATGAGGAAGTGGAAACAAGTGTGCCGGAAGAAGCTCATCGTGGCCATAAACAGTCAGATCCTCCGTCAGATAAACGGCATGCAAGACACTGCTGCAGTCAGGCAACAAAGCAAGGCCCGGTTGGCAGAGAATATTGCTCTTGTCGATAAACGACGGACTTCTCGAGGTGTACCTCGAGAAAATGTGTAATCACTCGGGCAACCTCTGAAGACATAGCACACGGGCAAGGAACACATGTTGGGTACCAATCGTAGGTAAATAGCTCAGCATCGAAGCAGCTAGCATAGTTGCACTTACACCAGCTGTGCAAACCCAGGACATGGACAGTCACCCTAACCAATGATTTTTCGGATTTCTAGAGTGGCTGGCAGTTTGTAACAGCCCACATTTGTAAAACATCTGCTTTATTTGTAATAACACGATGTCAATGAAATAAGTGGATGAAACGCAGAATAAACACATCTGTAAACATGCAAACTGCTCGATTAGAACCAGTGCAGTATACAGAGCCAAAAAGACGCAGCACAGTTTAACACATCTTCACCACCAACAACGAAGCATCCAGCAGTCGTAAGAGGACAAAGCGTTATTACAGTACCACACGTATATTTTAATCGGCGGGACACATAAATTACGCCAAATAAGTAAAAAGAATTTGTCAAACCCACAGAAATCGAATTTAGCAAGTTTGCCACGAACTGAGACAAACGAAAGTTCTGAGTTTTCAGAAACGGAAGTTATGAAACTGACATATGAGATAAAAAAAATAGCGGAAAATTAGAAGTATGAGAGGAGCGCCTGAGTGCCTTTTTTCTCAAAGCGGCCTTTCGCCAATGTCTGTCCAAGTCCTTGAATTTTTCTCCACATCCGAGCGGTACTTAGCTTTCAATGTAAAGAACTAACCTTCTAAAGAAAACTGTCACCCCCCAACAGCCAAACTTTTAAACTTTATGAAACAAGGGTAATACCGATATATATGCGCCACAGTTCTTTCATTTCTAAAAATCTGAAAAAATGCGATTTCGAAGCCAAAATCTCCCAATTCAAAGCAAGCAGAACAAAGCTTTACATCCAATACGAACAAGAAACCTTCAAAAGCTGGGTGCTTTAAAAACAGTGATACTGAAAAAATTTGTACGAAAAGCCGTCCTCCCCTCCCCCCCCCC